TGGAAACAACCCAAATGTCCAAAAATAAATGACTGGATCAAGAAGATGTGGTACATATACACCATGGAATATTACTCAGCATTCAAAAAAGATAAACTCATGCAATTTGCAGCAACATGGATGGAGATGAAAGGGACCATGCTCAGCGAAATAAGCCAGAAAGAAAAAGAAAAATACCGGATGGTCTCACTCATAGCAGGAATTTAGAAAACCTAAATAAGGGACCAGGAAAAAGACTAATCAATACAAAGTAAAAATCAAAATCAACAAGCAACTATGGACCAGAGACACACTACGGGGGGTGGGGGGGAGGAGCGGGGAGAGGAAGGACTAGGGTCAAAATAAGGGGGGATGCAATTGTATGAGGAATATAACCAAAATGAAAAAGCATACATTTTGCAAAAATGAAAAATGGTGTAAGAATTATATAAAATAAAATATTAAAAAAAATAAGTTCACTCCTCCCTCCATGTTTTTGTCATGTCACAAAAGGGGAGCTTTTTCCCCTCCATCAATCTAAACCAAATATGTTCTAAAAAGCATAGTTCAAATCCAAATTCTTTAATTAAGCCTTTCTTTCCAGTTCCAGCCCACATGTTCTTTCCTTGTTCTCAGCTCTTATGGCACTTAACCCATGGTTCCACATACACCGATGATACAGGACTTTTTTCTCTTATTCTTCAGTTATTCCATGTGTGCTAACCGACTCTCCCAGGTCAGCTTACATGCAGGGACTGTGCTCTCCCCTGTGCCACCACAGCTGTGGCGGGAACCCTGCTGCCTTTGGCCCTGGTCTGCCCCACAGGAACTTCCACTGCCTACAATCCTTTCTTCCTTAATTCCTAGAAAATTCCTCAATCTCTTGACAGTCTTAATAAAGATAACATTTACGAGGAACATGAAGCATTCCTTGCTGCTTCCTTATTCATGTGCCCACCCCAGTGGACACTCCTAGGCAGTTCCAGGAACAGCACTGGCTTGGTAGGCTGAAAAAGGCCTCCCTGACTGATGTACCTGTGGCGGATAGTCTAGAAATTTATCTCTTCTTTTGACAGTAGCAGAGTGAGGGTGGTTTATTATTTTTTCGAATAAATAAATGAATAAAGAAACCAAAAAAAGCTGGTAAGAAAATATGTTGAAGGAGTTCAGAATTTAGCCTCATCAGGATGGAATGTTTTGCAATTGCCAATAAAGCATAGTCACTGAGAAGGTCTCCTTGCTTTTAATTCCAAAAGCAAGCATAAAGTGCCCACTATGTGTCTGGCATTGGGGATAAGATTGAGAGGAGACTCAGACAGACAAAAGCACCTAACCTCACGGAACTGGCTTCTGACTAGGAAAGGCAGAGACCAGCATACGGATTTTGCACTGAGTGGGAGACTCAGGAGTTCTGAGAGACGCTCCATACGTGACAGGATGGTGGCTCGGACCTCCACATGGGGGACTGAATGGTGCAACAGGACATGACCGACCTTCATTCAAGGCACAACAAACAGTGTGGGCCGGTGGATGGGAGGAAAGGTGTGAGAACAGGCAGGAATGGGGCTTCCATAGTGGCCTAGGGGTGAAGTCTCAGCACAATCACCACTGAGTGATTGTGGCCTGAGTTCGATCCCCAGCGAGGGAGCTGACCCACATGGCTCAGCAGACCTCTCCTGTCTCTCTGCTGCTATCCTCAGCAGTGTGTATCAGTAGATCTGTGTGTTCTGCTCCCCACTCTGTCTCTGGTGAATCCTCTCACCCCCTGCACCTCTGGCCTGTACCCCAGCTCTTGTTTGCACAAATAAATAAACATTTTAAAGAAAGAGAGAATATGGGTTCAAGGAAGAGAAGAAAAATTAAAAAAATAAAAACAAGCGGGGATCTGAGTCTGGGCAGCTGTGGAATGGCGTTTGGAAGGTGTGATTTTGGGAAGAGTGTGTAGACATATGAAGATAAACTCTAAAACGAGGCCTTTGATTTTAATATTCTGTTTTGTATCACTGAGCTGCCCGTGGGCACGTTTCCAGTGAAAAGCAAGGGTCACTCTGGCTTCTTCCACAGAGAAGTAGCTGACTAGCCGCCTGGGACAGCGCAGCCAGCGCAACTCCCAGAAGGAAGCACTGTCTGTACCAGGCACCCTATAAAAGCTACGGCAATTAATTCTCAAACTGTCTCAAGTTCTATTTTTAAATGACTAAAGCAACACAGCTAGTGCTAGGGGTTACAATTTCTATTCCCGTTAAACCCCACTTCTAACTCACGCAGCTATTATCACAAATAATGTTAATAATGATCCTTTGAATTTTATTAAATAATGATTTGGATTCCAATGGTTCCTCATGAAAGAGGTAGAATTTTTTATCCTGCCTAGACCATGCGCTAGTGCAAGGTCACAGGAGATGGCCTTAACCTAGGAGTAAAAGGGCAGGAATAAATGTGATCTAGGGTCACCTGCTCCAATTGAGAGGAAAGCTGGAGACAGAGCAGTGGGAGATGTGACCATCAGGCAACACCTTAGCAGCCTGAATCATCAGCTTCTGGGCTTCATGGCTGTCATTTGGGGTAAGGCTGGTAATAATAGTTTATTTTTTCATGCATTGAAGTATATGTCTGCAAAAGTTACTGAATTTGGGGATTCAAAAAATGAGACTGTTTATAAACACATGATGCAACAGTAATTCTGCATAATGACCATGTCTCTTGCAGAATAATTCTGTGGTGGTCATAATGGCTAGAGCTTGGGCTTCTGAGTTTTTATTGGGCAGGAACAAACCATTCCTCACTCCACTTATGAGCCTTTTTCCCCTTCCAGGCTCTAAGTAGTTTACACAAAAAGCAGTTATTTCCATAGTAGAAATGGCCAAGAGGGCTAAGCACCATTTTTAACCTGTTATTATGGTTAGAAATCAAGGTCACCCTTCTTCCAGACTTCCACAGTGACACAACTGCTGACCCAGCTGGTAGAAATGTCAGAGCAGAACTGCGCTTTGACCTCCTCACAAAAGCAGGAGCCAACACGGCCAGTGATTCGGCACAAAGACGCCTAAGGGTGGACTCACACCAAGACAGGCCTATAAATTCTTTTCAAAGGAAAATCTGAAGTGAGAGTTCACCCATAAATTGTCCACGCTCTCCATTCAGGGCTTTGGAAAACAGGACTGATTTGAAGACTTTATACAGTGTCATAATTTATCAAGGACATTAAAGAACAGAATTAAAACTTTCAGTGTCTTGATTCACACCCAAAAACCAGAGAGCACGTCACAGAGACATCTCCATTGGTAGGGTGGGTGCCATTGTCCTGGCCCCGAGGACGGAGGCTTCTGAGAACTGGGGCAGAGCGGCGCGGCCAGGGGAAGCTGTGGGACCTGGAGGGCAAGTGGGCACAGAGAAGGCCCATGGCCAACTTGCAACCTGGGCCTGCTGCGGTGGGGAACTGGCGGAGGCCATAGAGGAGAGACATGCAGAGACACTTGGCAGAGTCACAGGGTGAGACGGGGCTGTCAGCTCATGTGGCTGCTCCTTTTGTACCACCTTTCAGAGACCTGCTTCAGAACCCCTTTCTGATGGTTCTCCACCAGAAGGTGTCTTCAACTTGTGGCAGGCTTTTGGGCCTCAGTGGCCCACCTTGGGTCGACCCTGTTTGGGCATTTGCCCTGGAGGGGACAGGTGACTTCAAATGTCCTATGGGGAAACCATCCTCCTTCCTTTTCTTCTCCCTCCGTGCACACTCATCCTATCACGGCTCTTTCGCACCGAGAGCCTGCTTTGTCTTTTTGTGCACAGATGACCGAACCCTTTTCGAATGTGCGAGTTTGGGGGTCCCTGGGCGCCCCTCAGCCACACCCTAACCAGCAGGCCCATGAGAAGCCATCACATCATGAGCAGATGTGAAGGGGACATTCCCTCATGCATCCCTGTCTCCTCCCACTTGGAATCCCCTCCCCACCCCACAGTGTCCACTCCGTGGTCTGTGTGCACATTCTCTGGATTTCATGGGGCAGAGCACACATCTTCACACACCCATCATGCCTCTGCAGTCAGGCTGGAGCCAAGCCAGGACATGCCTGGGGAATCCCTGGTGACATGACAAGCACCACAATTCAAAGGCAAAGCCGTGCGGCCTGCGTGTTTGTCGTTTGTGTAATCCTCTTATTTCAGTGCTGCTTTTTTTTTAATTTTTTTTAAAAAGATTTATTTATTTATTTATTTATTTATTTATTTATTTATTTATGTATGTATACAAGCACTGGGTACAGTCAGAAGCACAGGAGGGTGAGAGAATTCACCAGAGCCAGAGCAGGGAACAGAACAGGCAGACCGACGAAATACACTGCTGAGGGGAGCAGAGGGCACAGCAGGAGAGGTCTGTGCGCCATGTGGGACCCTTGCCAGCGGCCGGGGATCGAACTGGCACTGCAGAGGCTGCGGGCAGCTTCGCAGCCCAGTGCTCAACCGCTGCGCCACCAGGGGAGGCCCAGTGCTGCTTTTGTTTTATACATTTGGGCTTAGAAAACATAATGTACACAAAGCATGCCCTGCAGCCATCATAACAGGCAAGCACAGGGGCACGGGAGCAACCCAGACGCGTGCAGTTAAAATTCACAAACTGAAAAAGGTGATGTCACATAAGAACTTCAAAAAAGAATATCAAACTCTTACTTCAACCCTTTCTTCCTATATGAGCGAATCAAAGATGCAGGAAAATTTAAGACTTTCTGTCCCCCCATCATCATTTCAAGCCATTTCTTGACATTTCTACCCAATATCAGCTGATTGGCCTGCACTGCTTTCCACCCTCATGTGTGTTTTAAACTTAACTCAGATTCTAAAGCAGTAACTCTTCATTTCCATCATTTCTTTGCTCAAATCTTTACATACTCTTTTCAAATCAATTTACTAAAATCTACTTCTCTACCTTATGTAGAACATTTTGACCAACTGCAAAAAAACTCAGACAAATGATTTTTAGCTTACAAACTGTACCAAAATAAAAAACAAAATAAGTTGTCTCCTACCTATAGTTGTAATAACAGTGCCAGCAAAGAAGAAGGAACTTCCCAAATCCCAGTGACTGATTTGATTGGAGGTGTTTCCTAAAGGTATAATCCCTGCATTTATTGCTGCAACTATTTGCTGCAAGTTTAAAAAGAAATTTATCAGTTAACATGAATCACATAGATGCATCAAACAGCACATATCCCACCCCAGATGACTAGTTAGACAAAGAGAATCATTTAAATTCCATTTAAAATATGTAACATAGCTTAAAACTTTATACTAAAAAATTTAATGACAGTTAAATTATAAGATAATTATATTTTATATCGTGACTGGCTCTACATGAAGCTTGTACCAACATGCTCATATCATCACTTATCACCTTATTTTAAAACTTATCTGAATTAATAATGAAACATGCAATATTCTTTAGTATCACAAGAGTTAAACTATCAGACTGCAAACTACAATCTATATAATAATACATAATAGCTTTATCAAAAAAACAAGCATAAGCACATGCATCCACGCCAGGGCACACATATCAGGAACATCCCACAAAGTAGATTGGGTGAGGACATGACAGCAATTCACAAGCTTAAGTCTGTCCACGTATCTCTAGATACTCAGGATCCCGACAGATTCTCATACATCTTCTAACAGTGAGATCAGCAGAGGCCTGTAGATGACCATCACCTGACAAATTCCCACAGGGACACTAGTATGGGTGCTACCTTGGTCGGAGGTAAGTGGCAGACACGTGACAGTGTCATCCCTCCAGCAATCACCAGATGTTGGGGAGGGGAGAGCCAGGAGCACAAAACAGAAGAGAACATGTTGGGAGAAACTGTACAGTAAAGGAGAGACATGCAGATTGTAGATGCTTCTGTTGTAAAGTTTTAGAATATTTATCGTGAGCCTCCCTGGTGACACAGGCGGTTGAGCACAGTGCTATGAAGCTGTCCACAGCCTCTGTGGTGCAGGTTTGATGGGGCCAGCCAGAGAGCTACCCACATGGTGCAGCAGACCTCTCCTGTCTCGCCCGCTGCTCCCCTCAACAGTGTATTTCAGCCAGTCTGCCCGTTCTGTTTCCCGCTCTGTCTCTGGTGAATCCTCTCAACCACCCCCCCACCCCGCCCGCACATCTGGCCTGTAACCCGGTTCTTGTATGTATGAATAAATAAATCTTTTAAAAAAAGAAATATTTATTGCTTAGTTTCCAGGTTTTAAACTTGGAAAGAACTCATTTGTTAGGCAAGGAGTTAAAACCAGGACAGGTAACCTGATATGTTTAAGGTGATGTAGTTTACTGGCAAATGGATGATAACTGCACTGTGAAAATGTAGCAGTTGCCAAAGAAGTAGAAACTAGCAGGTAGTCAGGAGCTGAAATATAAGACAAAATCTCATCCATTTGCTCTGTCTTAAACTATAAATTAAAATTGAAGACTGGTGTGTAAGTCTGTTGAATTATAACCATTTTATAAACATTGAAGACACATTAGGAAAATAAAGAAAGCATAGAGGACAACAAAAATTATTCCTAATTTCAGAAATCAGCGATACCACCATTGGGGTATTAAGATATACCTGGTACTCATCACATAGTTGGATTTATGAAATATATAACATGTATTCTCTAATTTTTCTTAGTATTATTCCAGATGCAGACTTCCCTTGTCAAGATCACAGTCACTTAATTATTGCTGAATATATAGACATATATACACTATTCCAAAATGTGTCTATTCTGAAAAGTGCTGTTGAGAGTGTGGTTGTGTAAAACTATTTTTTTTCTGGATGTTTCTTTAGGAGAGATTGCCAGAAATAAATATGCCACATTAAAGATTATGAACATTTTTAAGACACTTGATTTATAGCAGCTAATAGTTATCCAAGTCGACTATTAGAATTTACAACTCCCCCACCCAACAATTTACAAATGTCCAGCAATATTTTTACCTCTGATATTAATGACATATTATCTTGATTGAATTGATACTTATTTATGTGTCTATTTTGTGTGAGTGAGGTTTAACACTGATGCTTCCTTTACCATATAGTAAATGCACATAAATACACATATCTGCACAGTACACGGTGAAGTTGGTTTTGAGATAACTGATTCTATTTATCTTTATTTTTTTTAATATATATATATTTTTTAATATCAGGAAAGACATTTAAAACATGTTCTCTGCAGGGGTCTCCCTGGTGGTGCAAGGAATTAAGTCTCAGCATTACAAAGCTATCTGCAGCCACTGCAGCATGAGTTAGATCCAGGGCCAGGGAGAAACCCACATGGCACAGCAGACCTCTCCTGTCTCCCCACTGATCCCCTCAGCAGGGGGAGCAAGTCTGCCTGTTCTGTTCCCCACTCTGTCTCTGGTGAATCCTTTTACCCCCTGCACCTCTGGCCTGCACCCCAGTTCTTGTATGCATAAATAAATAAAATAAATCTAACAAAAAAGCATGTTTCCTGCAGCTACTAACCAACTATGTTTTCATAAATATTAGAGCCATTTAGTTAAATTTTATTGAAATTGTACAGGTTTAACATACTTCCAGTTGTTTGGAATATGTGAAATCTCAAAATTAAGAAAAAAGACCACTATTATAATAGTGAGTTTCTCATCATAGAACATAGAATGAAGTTTCACTTATTGACTCTCTTTAAATAGCCTGAGATAGAGAATTTCTACATACTTCCCATAGGTCTATAACGTTATTCTTAGGTATTTTACCTATTTCCTTCTTAAATTACACCTGGTTGCAGCTGCTGTATTGTGTGATCTTCTCTGCAATAGCAATTCTAAAATGTTTTCATCACAAAACCATTTTACAGTCTCAAAATTATTGAAGACATCAAGAGTTTTAGTGTATGTGAGTTATAATGACTAATATTTACTGTATCAGTTTGAACATCTAATTTTCAAATGTTTTAATTAACTTATGCAACAATAACAATAAGCCTATTATATAGCAACATAAGTAACCCACTTTTATGAAATATCAATGTTTTCCAAAACAATTGCTTCATGAAAAGAGAGGCACCATGTTATAATTTTATAAATTTCTTCAATGTCTGACTCAATAGAAAACAGATCCAAACATAAGCTTCTGCATTCAATTTGCGGGGTGAGCTAGTGCATCTCATGAACTCTAGAAAGCCCCACTGCAGACTCGTGAGGAAATGAGAATGAAAAGGCAAGAACATCTCAGCATGGACTGGGAAAGTGGCCATTAAAAGCTCTGGAACCACATCTTGATGACCATTGCTCTGTCCAGAGCCCTAATTATTTCTGTTGTTTTGCTTCACTTTGTTCTCTGTCTGGAAAATCATAGTAAGCAAGCTTATAGCTGACAAGTAATGGCATTTTATCTCTGCAATTTTCAATAGCTACATTTTATTACTTTTCATCTTTTATTGCATTGGCCAGTATTTCTAGAGCAATTTTAAATAAAAATTATGAGAAAAGATATCTTTGGGTTTTGTCACATAAAATCCTTAATGCTTCAGTGTTTGATGATTAAATATATAGACAGCTGGCAAGAAAGTGTGATTTGATTAAATAATTTTGAGAGCAAGCTAATGGAAAGAACAGATGAAAACAAAAGCAGCAGCTAAAAATATCTTTCAATAATATTTTAAGAAAATAATAAACATATCAGGAATGTATACATGAGTGTTGTGAGTATGGGCTTGGTGATTTCTAGCTTTCTAGCGCCCAAGAAAAACTAACACTTCAGTAAAGATCAAGGGATTGGGGGTTGGGAGGGACATCAAATTTTTTTTTTATATTTCACAGATATCTCTTCAACACATTCATTCAAAAACATATTTATCAAGTGTTTATGGCCCTAGGCAATGGGGAAACAAGATAACTGAAAATACAAGGGGTATAGCTACAGACGAGAAAAGATACGGCATGTGATTACACTGCACCCCATTCAATAATATTATTTCATTGACTATAGGTAAGCTAATTTTTCCCAAAACTGACTTATTATAGCCTCCATGGCCAGCACCAACATTTTAGACTCTTCTTTTCCTTTCCAATGATAAGGTATGATGCTACCCTAACACTTGGATAAGGTCCACAAATTATTTAAATGCAAAAGAAGCAAACGCAGACTTATAATCAGAAACGGTAATGTCTGGCAATGTGTGGGTTGTAAATAGTTATCACAGAGCTGTGATTATTGCAACAGAGGCCTGAGATGGGACTATGTTTATGTCAAATCACTTTAAGAATGAGTCTACCATGAGGTTCTTTTTCTGGAATAGCCTTATAAATGTATTTTGTATTTTTGTACAAGGTCTCTTGCTCAACATCCACAGGAAATCGGATGCCCTTGGCCAGTGCACTGATATAGACCAGCAATTTCAACATCAATTCAGGCCATCAGAACACTTAACAAAATCCTGATGAAATCTCTTTTGTACATGCCATGTTCTGTGACAACGGTAGCTATTTCTTCATCAATAATTAAAGTTCACTTTCAACTCAAGGCAATTTTTAAAAATTATTTATTCATTTATTTATGTGTAGAAAAACTGGGGTGTAGGCCAGAGGTGTGGGGACTTAGAGGATTCAGCAGAGACAGAGTGGGGAGCAGAACAGGCAGAGCGACTGAAATACACTGCTGAGGGGAGCACTGGGAAGACAGGAGAGGTCTGCTGCACCATGTGGGTCAGCTCCCTGGATGGGATCAAACTCAGACCCTAGAGGTGATAGCGCTAAGACTTAACCCCTTGGCCACAAGAGAGGCCCCCAAGGCCTCCTTTATTGTGGACAATAAAGTCACGTTGAAAACATATGAACATATTGAACTGCTTAGGTTAAGGTAAAGGAAATATAACATTCCTACGCATGTCATCCTAATATATAATTTCATCCTAATAAAGTGTTGATTAATGAAGGCCTTCCAAATATAAAATCTACAAGAGAACTAGTAAAAGACTCCATTGGTTTGGTTCACACTCAATTTTGCTCTTCAGTTTATAGACAAATACAGAACAGGCATTAAGGAAAGGACGCTAAGTACAGGCTGCAAGTCCAGAGAATGGGCTTAAACTTAAGAAACAGAGCTCTCAGAGGCTTATACTCTTAGAGATGATAAAACTAATTACTC